TACTATATTGTAGCTTACACTGTATAAAAGTAGGTAGAGGTAACTATAGTAATAATGATAAAAAAGGAAAGAGAAATTGCTGAATAATCGACTTACCCATGTCTCCGATAATTATTTTCCGCACACCGTCAGTTAAAGTAAGTTCATGATTTCAATATAATATTTTTTATTTATTTTACAACTAAGTATTACTATTTTATTTTTTATTCTTCCCGTTATCAGAATGATAATAATATCGTATTTTAAGCACACGGCAGCAGAGTAACGTGTTATAACGTCGACAGCTGGTTTTGATCTACCACGGCACCGTCGGCCGGTGATCCGATGATCGATCGGTAGTCGAGTCTGCGAGGTCGACACCCCACTCACAAACATTATAACTGAACACACGTACAACCGTACACAAATCATGAATTAAACGGTTTGCGCCCATATCGCGATGACACGATGGCATCGTGTTTTGGTCCTTTGATATTATAATAATATGCAGTCCGTAGTTGTATACCGTATTAGTATTATACTATTATAGTCCTTATACCATATTATAGTACCGTAATTTATAGCGTAGTGATCGAAATACACCTCAATTGTGCTTGTATATAAATCACACGGAATGTTATTGGGGTGATTATAAAGTATTATTTGGGGACAGATTTTACTTCAGACTCGACCGTATTCTATCAAAACCGTCGATCTGACCTTGTCATTTTTTTTATTATTTTTTTTCAATACATATTTCTAAACTATAATATATTATACTATTTATAGACTATATGGTTTACAATTGTGTAATATTATTATAGGTGCCTTGGTGTGGCGCACTGCGGAAACGCACTGAGTGCACGTGACGGCCGGCGTTGCTAGTTTCCGGATGGGTGACCACCAGGGATTTTTAGCAACGAATCCTTGCCACACGTACAAACTGTGTTTTCAACCGTTCCTTCCCCTAATAACAACCTACGAACAAACAAAAAAACCAACAGCTAATGGCCTAAGTTGCCGGGCTCAAATTCAATAAAAAAAAAAAATATATTATATATAGTTGTCTATACAATTGCATACGACTATGTTTACAATTTGTACAGAACTAGTGTTTCCGTTATCCTCAAAAAACACATATCGAGGTGTCAGGATTTTAACTCGCAATTCCATGTTGTATAAACACAGCTTATAATATATGTTATTAATTCACCTATATACTAACGCATAAGACATAACATCACAAGTCCATCCAATATTGTACTCTGTAAATAAACAACTCAAATTTTTCGTTCACTATATAATAATTTCGAGTTTGGTAGGTAACACATATGACTGCAGGGTACTATCGTGGGCAAGTTGATTAAGCCTATTTATTGGTGATGGCTCTCAAGTACCAGAAAGGAAACACCAAATATTTTTAAGAATTTAATAAGATTTCTTTTGAATAGAACTTATGTTATTTATATTATTATGTATATAATTATATTCTTGACAATTTTATCAAACATGTTAGAAACCGTCGGCCGTTAATCGTATTTATTAATATCATTATTGTGATTGAATCATGTATAATATGAAGAACACCGTGACATTATGGATTTTATTGCCATCGTTTATAGTAATATAATTTAGGTAATTGTCTATATTTGAAGCCAGTCATTTTTTTTTCGTTTTAATATTGTGTCAACACTATATATTATAAAATGAACAAACTATGTATAATATAATATATTTTATCGCATTATCGTACTGTATTGTATTATAGTAATAAATAAAAACAAAAACCAATAGTAATGATAAATTACGTAAATATAAGTAGTGAGTACATACATAACTGTTACCTACGGTATTGATTCCCATTTCCAAATTGTAATTTTGTGATGGACTTTTATATATATTAGGAGTAGAAAGTTGTGTGTATAATGGTTTTAATATTGTTTTAGACGATGGGAATAATCCAGTTGAACTTTTTGACGTATATGACTTAATTTAAACCATATAACCCATTTCCTGTTAAAATTGAATAAAGTACAGTAATAATAAAGATTATAAAAAATGTTTAGTCTTGAGCAATATGGCATCCAATGAGTCCCGGTTGTTAGATCGACTTCTCCACATAAATTCGGCCTAACAAGAACCCACAAAATTCCCACATTCGTTCTTTATTTTCAATAGGTATATGCAATGTGCAGGCCAATGCACCGGAATCTGGTCCAAAATATTGTTTCTACGATTTACTGAATGCGACTAAGACCCAAATTGCTTAAATTTTTGTAAGCGCTCCGACAATCGGATATCATTATCGATCCTATTTGACGGTTGTATAAGCGTATAAATCTTATAAGGTAATTAATATTTATATACCTAGGTACCTATAATACAATAATACCGTCCTTTAAATTATAGTACATTATTCGTTCTATATAATATTATAAATATTGCTGCCAAACAAGTGATTTTTTTCCGCACAAAACAATTATTATTTAAAACATTATAATATTATTCTATTTTTTCTTCAGTTAATATTTTCATTTGTCTAGACATTATTTTTTTTTACCGAGGCATGTACACACGACTTTAGAACACGTTGTAAGTGCATATTATATATATTATATATGTGCTTAAAATTAATCAAAACAGATCAATTCTTTTGATATATCTTGTTGTGCATAATATTACAATAATATTTCATATTGTCTATTTTACTATCAATAATGACGTTGCACATACGTACTTTTTTTTTTATATGAGTTGCATACGTGCACAGTCCGTAATATACAGTGTGATCACGAAATTAGGTACCACCGAATATCTCAGATGGGTGACTTTGTATTGAAATGGGGTTTTAAGGAGGTGATAGGGAACACTTAAATACATATTTTCAGACCAGTTTCAAATTTTTAGCTCACTCGGTACCGCGCATGCGCAATACAACTTACTTTTTTTAAATAGCAACCCCAGTTTTTTTATGCAGATTCGGGTAGAATATTTTTTTTAAACATTTGCAAAAAAAGCTTTTTTCTATTTTCAAAACTGACCAAGTTAGAGTAAGTCAAAAAATGGATGTATATGCATAATATGTGTTTAATACAATTTTCATTTATAACCACTGGAATTAATAAAATAAGTGCCAAATAAATGTTTAATGGTGGACGGAGTGGCCGAGTGGACTAAGGCGTCCACCGGTTCGAACTCAGCCACAGGCGGCATTTTTCTTCTGGCAGTCACGGTGTCCGGAGAGAGAGGCCGACATGGCGACATCCCCGCCTGGGCATGGCAGATAAATTCGTGTGTGTTTGTTTTGGCAGAATTTTAAAGTGAGCACCCTTTGGTATCTGCCATGCCCGGGTGGGGGATGACAACCTCTCTCTCTGCACACCATGACTGCCAAAAGAAAAATGCCACCCGTGGCCGAGTTTGAACTGACGCCTTAGTCCACTCGGCCGCACAACTGGGATTGTCATTTAAAAAAAAGTAAGTTGTGTTGCGCATGCGCTTAATGAGTGAGCTGAAAATTTGAAACTGGTCTGAAAATATGTATTTAAGTGCTCCTTATCACCTCCCGAAAACCCCATTTCAATACAAAGTCACCCATTCGAGATATTCAGTGGTACCTAATTTCGTGATCACACTGTATATAATAGTGTTCTGCTTATTTTCGTTGGGTACAATATGTGCAAATGTGCAATATATTCCTTTTTATAAATTTTATAATTGATAGTTAAATATAAATATCTATTTTAATCGAATATGAACAAACTAATTATTAGTAATATGTACCTATCTACGTATTATTATCACAAATTTGTATGTAAACCAAGACGTGCAATACATAATAATATTATATTGCTTAATAATAGTGATATTACAACAAAACAATTTACGAACCTAATCTGTACCGATCTTTAATAATATTGAATTTGAACGCTCTAGAAAAAATAATTATCTTATTCAACGGTCCATTAAATTTAGTAATTCAAATGAGAAATAATTTATGGTAACGAATAACAATTAATTTGTTTGTTTATTGAGAGTGGTTGATTAGTATAGTAACTTAATTAATGTTACGAAGAACTTGGGCAAAGATTTCGGATCAACGTACCCCCATATATAAATATTTTATATTACTATACATTTTTAAATTTCGAAAAATTAAAGTAATATTTAGTATTATATTTGTTTAAGTAGGTGTACATTTCACAAAAAATTAATATTAAAAATAGATTTACAGGTTCTGGTAGAGTTTTATATTTCTCACAATGTTGTTTGTTTGTTTTCAAATATAAATATATAATAGTAATAATATCTTGTTTTAAAACAAGAAACGACAAAGGTACCATATTATGCAATTCAATTAAAATAACTGTTATAAACTTATACTCTACCGTCACTCAAATGTTCACAATATATATATATCTATTTTTTTTGAAGTGAAACTTCTTTACATAGGGTAGTGAGGAAAAAACAAAATGTAACGGCGGCGCGTACGAACGGGCGACGCCAGTGTTGCCAGACTCTCAAACTAATATTATCGTTAAGTACTTAAATAATTATCGTTTTTCAAAGAAATTATCGTACACCACAAATGTTTAAAAATAATAATAGTGTGTGTAATGAATAGTTTGTAATAAATTTGTTTAATATTTAAGTATTATTATGTAATATACGATATAACTTAGGTATGAGATACACTCCAAATCGAGAAAAATAATTAATTGGATAATCTTTGAATGGATAGGCACTGTGTGTATTGTTGATAATTTTAACTTGATAATATCTTGAAATTATTTATGGTACGTCAGATACCGGATAACGGGTATACTCGGTACCATTAATACTAAGTACATCAATACATCATTGTCATAATATTACTTACAATCAAAATGTTTGTGACATATCAAATCATATTCGTGTATAACGTTATTTGGACGAATTTGTTTTGGTTTTTTTTTTTACTAATCTCATTATTTATTATAATTTAAAAAATATTTTATATCTTTTTGTGTTATTTATTGGTACCTACTTATTTTAAATTGTCGACTGTTCTTCGTTTTATGCTGTAATAATATAATATGTTGGGGGTGATTAATAATTATATATTATACAATGATTAATGAA